AATTTATTATTTATTTAAGGATGCTAAATAGAGAATGTATATTTATGGATTTCTTTGATGGTCACGATATTTGGCATTTTCTTGGAGGATCAGGTCATTTCATAATACAGGCTGATTTATAAAAGTCGATAACATGACATTTGATAATTAAAGAAATTGATTATCTCCAGCATTGTTAATCTATCTCTTCTTAAGGAGGTTGTCAAATATCTTCCAAACTTCGAACCCGATATTTGGACAATTTGACTTTTTTACACCACATGGAGGACGAATTTAGTATCTTAAAACCTAGAATCGTATTGTACTAAAATGCCGTATTTTTACACTGTTTGGCCTGTTTAAGGGAAGCCTGGAATCTTTTTTTCTGGGTCAAGCCATTGTTGCTTCGGGAATTATCAAATGTCAGACAGTAAATTAGAAATTGGAAGATTTTCTTATTTAATATTGCAAATTTTCATCCAATTAAGCACACAAGAAAAAAAATAGACTTCTAGAAATTACCCAGTACATACAGCCATAATTTTACGGATTTTAATTTCTGGTCTGACTTTGCAAACTCGTAACTCCTCTTCTAATTTTCGTCACAAACAGAAAGCATTAGGATTTTAAACTTGTCTCCTGAAAAAGAAGTTATGTATAGAAACATAGAAGATTTCTCAAAATGGACGTAGAGGGTTACCCACAAAGGATGAGACTTCAGAGACGACTGTATCGAATTCTTACTTTCTGTTTCCTTATATTCATATAAAATATATATATTAAATAGTTTATGGAAAACATTTCTTTATAATTTTGTCTAATGTTAATGGACCATTTCTGAAGAAATAATTAGTTATCATTAATGAAATCATTAATGATTAATAATCNTCTCTCTATTCCAAGGTTTTCTGGTTCTCACTGTATGTTTTCCTAGAATAACAGGCAACCAGGATATCTGTTATTACAATGATTTGTGTCGGCGTCCCCTGGGAGTTATTCGAGATTTTAATCACGTGTTCAGGTAATAATCTAGGCTGCTCAAAGACCGTAATAATAGTAAAAAAAAAGTAAAGTAAAAAGCTATTTATTTATGAAATATATTAAAAACAAAGAAAATTAAGTGTTTCAAGAGAAAATATTTAAAAACCTCTAAAAGTAGAGGTTGTGGGAATATTTCCCCCCAATTCTAAAAAAATGGCAATGGCTTTTAATCTATACCACAGAATTACGCTTTAATTTGCAAATGAAGATGTCACAAAATGTTGTATTTTCTTAAAATTCAAAATTATCTTATACTTCGCCAAAATCTTGTTTTTAAAACAAATTTGTTGTTAAAAAAGCATAAACTATTTCTACGATATACTTTTTAAAAAACAGATTGCGATGTTTGGTTTGTAAAAAAGAATTTTCCAGATTTCCGACACATTTTAAGAAATAGGTTGAGATCAAGTTGGATACCGTTCAAAAAAGTCTACAGCGATAACCAGAAAACTCAGAAATTGAAAATAGATTAGGTTATAAATAGTCCAATGAACATGAGGCACAGCAATTGTGCAGTGTAAACAGACCCATTTTAATTAACTAGTGGTTTAATAACGTACTAGTTAAGCTATTTGCTTTATAACAACATTGCTTCAGTATTGCTTTAATATCGTCTTCATATTCTAAAGTTTTCTTGCTATCACTGTACAATACAATCTTTGTAATTAATTGAATTAAAAAATCCACAATTGTTTTGTGTTACAGTAACCTGGGATACTGTGTGTTTGGTATTCTCTTCATGTTGATAGTTTACTTAAAGAAATGGAAATATACAACATTCTTTCAAGACAACAAAACTATACAGGATTGTACACTGTACACTGTTAATTTTACACTTAACATTTTCCAAACACTGTTAATTATTCAGGTTTCACTGTTAATTGTTCACTGTACACTGTTAATTCTACAATTAACACTTTCCAAACACTGTTAATTCTACAGTTTCACTGTTAATTGTTCACTTTACAGTGTACACTGTTAAATTTTTACTTAACATTTTACTACACTGTTGATTCTACAGTTTACCCTAATAATTGTTCACCTTATACTGTTTATTGTTCACTTAACACTTTACATACACTGATAATTCTACAGATTACACTGTTAATTGTTCATTTAACACTTTAACAAAACAAAACTATTCAGGATTGCACTCATTACACTGTTAACTTTGTACTTAACACTTTACATTCACTGTTAATTCTTCACGTTGTACTGTTAATTGTTTACCTTACACTGTTAATTGTTCACTTAACTCTTTTATACACAACAAAAATATACAGAATTTCTGTAGTACACTGTTAATTTTACTCTTTACACTGTTAATTGTACATTTTACACTTTACACTTATAATCGTATGCTTTACACTATCATTGTCATTGCTTTATCCGAATTTAAGTCTGAGAAGCAACGATTATATTCTGAACAGTTCTTTAAATTGTATTATTCGGAAAAGGATTTTAATTAAAAGTACAATGTACAATGTAGGAGGTAGAATACGGAGTACCGCAGCAGTACGGAATCTACTTTTCTATGGGGTTGGCACTCTTTATGGAGGTAGACATTGCAGTACAACAACATTGTATACTGTATTTATAAGAATCATGTTTATTTCAGGGTGTTATGTCAGGTAGTTACCATGTCTGTCCGACCAACATAACTTTCCAATTTGATACAACATTTATGTATCTCATGTGTATCCTTATGTTCCTTAAACTATATCAGGTACTTAAACATTCATATTTCTTATGTAGATATTATATACTCTTCATTTTTCATAATTTCTGTATACTCATGTTTTTATTGTATAAACATGTCATTCATAATTTGAATCACAATAGGTAAATTACACTTTTTTAAATCGTTAAACTTTATTCTTTATACTTAGATGCGCCTTTGCCATACATATACATCTTAGGTGCGCCATGCGGACGTTTCTGCTAATGCAGTGGGTGTTTTCTTCGGGCTAGGAGTCTCTCTAATTCTTGAAACTGTCTCAATTTTCTACAGTGGTCCGTGGTTCTGGGCCTTCTTCTGTACAGTAAGTATTTACATAGAGGAGTTTTCATTTTTTAAGGATCAATTTGTATTCGTAAAGGCTT